AATGTATACATTTTTTTTCGAATTCAGTAACATTCAACGATGGTATGCTAAAGTTTAGAAAAAGAATAACGAACCTAGCTTTGTTTCAAGAATACAAACACGCGTAAAAAGAATAAAAATTCATGATAGCCATTGATTAAAAATATATATATCAAATATGTGCGAAAATAAATAAAATATTAAAGTGCGACGCGACAAATTTGCATTCACCGTAGAATAAATTTTACTTACACTATAGATCAAAACAAAGAAACATAGATAAATATAATAAATATACATTTAAATTGTTTGAAATTCTTTAATCCTTAGTAAATTGTCTTAAACATCTATTTTTGATACCAACAACTCAATTTCAGGTACAGGTCTTGTCACAGCACCATACAATTTCCTAACATTATTCCCTTCAACTTTATTAAATACGAAATTCCTAATTAAAACCGCCAAAATAACCTTAAATTCCATAAGAGCTAATTTCATTCCAATACAACTTCTCTGGCCCGTATTAAAAGGTAAGTATGTAAAATTGGTAACTTTTGATTTTATTTCTGGATCAAGCCATCGAGATGGGTTGAATTTGGTTGCATCTTCACCCCAAATTGAGGGTTTGTGGTGAATCGCGTGAACTGATACTCCGAAAATAGATCCCTAATAATTCAGAATTTGTTTATAATAATGTTAGTAATTACTTTTAAATAAACTTCTTGCAAAAAAAGATATACCTTTGGAATAAAATATCCGTTTACCACTTCATCCTTAGTAGTCAAACGAGAGAGTAAAGACACTTTAATTCATAAATTAATGTTAGATAAAATATTAATAAAAGCAGGAAAAATTAAAGTATATAATAACGATCATGTGAATGATTCATACCAGGTGGAATGATTCTCAAAGTTTCTTTAACAACACTATCCAAATATTTCAAGTGTTCAATTTCATCGTAAGTGGGTTGAAAGTTGGGATCAGGAAATGCTTGAACCAATTCTTCACGAAGACGGTCTTGGATTTCTGGATGCTTGGAGAGTAAATATAATGTCCATGATAATGATTGACTTGTGGTGTGATGTCCAGCAGCAAGGAATGTCATAATCTGGAAATCAGAAAGTAAAATTTTAATTATTATTATTTTTATTGTATGTACATTAATTATTTAATACCTGATATTTGATTTCTTCGTTTGACACCTTTTCATCATTGGGTAAAGTCGCATTCATTGTTATTATTAATGTTAACAGATCTTTGCCTTTAAGTTCACCTTCTGCAAGTTTATCTTCTCGTTCTCTAACCAATTCTTCCGATATTCTTCTTATAGTTTTAACGGCATTCATGAATCGAACATTAGCACCAATTGGAATCTTTCTAACAAAGGGAAAGTATCCCGATAACAAGAGTATCAAATTTTCTAAGGTTGATGTAGCAGTGATGGTTGCTTTTTCATACGCATTTGCTAATTCTGATCGAGAATTAAGTGAATTGATTTCATAATTAAATCCTATTTGTATACATAAATTTCAAAAATAAATAAACATTAGAAAAATATTAAGATATTCTATTGTTAGGATATTATTAGGATTAATTATTACCAACTAAACCTATGATGTCCAAAGTTGTTTTAGATATTAATGGATTAATAGTGATTTTTTCTTCTTTATCACCGATTTGATTCATTATCTTTTCTTTCAATTGATGAGAAACTCTAACGACCATTGGAACCATTTCCTTTATATTTAAATACGTTAAAAAAATAAATAAATAAATCATAAATGTAATGGTCAGTAAAGATGTTACATAGTTTATACTGTTATATGTGAATGTCAAATGGTAATAACATATAACAATAAATTTACTATAAACTTTAAGAACCGTATCCTCAAAAGTGGTAAAATAAAAATTATATATTTTTTCTTTAGCCATATAGAACTTCTTTTACTAAAATAACCTTTAAATAAATTTATTCAACACACTTTTATGCTATACACACCTCAAACTTTTTTAAGAAAAAAATTAAATTGATTTAACTTTTTTACTTAGTAAAAAGTTTTGAAGTAGATACTAGAAAGGTTCTAAAATAAAATTCTGTTGAATAAGTTTAACATTTAATCTATATCAACAAATATAAGAAAGTTTGTGTCCAAAATTTTACGTATAATTCTAATTTTAAAATTTAAAAAAACCCTTGCTTTTATGAAATCCAGTATGTAACTGTTGCAATTTTTTGCAAAATTTTAGAATATCATTATAAAGAACTTCATTCTATACCTTTGCAATTTGAAAGCAAGTTAATTCGTAAATGGAAAAGGATATGAAGCTTAAAGTTTACAGTAATTTTATATACTTTTAACATTCTATTTAACATTTACTCTTGTTGATAAAAGAGAAATAAATACCTTTGTATTAGTAAAAGAAAATGCAGGATTCATCATTTTTCTTTGCCGTTGATGAACATTGCCTTCAGCAAATATTAATCCTTCTCCTACAAGATCCAATAACTGAGGGAATTGTCTAGTTTTTCTATATTCATATGTATTAATAGAAAAGATCTTTTGAACCATTTTAAGATCGGTAGTAATCATAAATGTACGGTTCAAAAAACCATGAACTCGAAAGAAAGAACCATATTGTTTTTCCCAACGAATCAAATTTTCGCCTATCTAAAAAAAAATTTAAATACATATTAGAAAAATTATAATGATAATACTTCTTTATATGAAGATAAAGCATTTTTATATGAAGAGAATTTACATCAGCATCCTGAAATACTTTCACATTTCCTTTTAAAAAATGTTTTACGGGGGGACCTGGAATTTTACTTAATGGCGATAAGTATAAAGGATAGATTGAAAATTTGTAGAAAAAGTATCCGATTAATGTAATAATCGCGCATCCGAACAAATTAACTAAGCTAAAAGGATCAATTATATGTAAATAGTAAACCATTTTGAGTTTACGATTGAAATGTGTATGATCGTGATGGTTTAAATAACTCAACATAAATGGTCAGTATCGAGTATTATCATTTGATCGACGTAACGTGACAATTTACAAATCATATAAGCTAAAACTAATAATATGCTAAATTGTCACGCAAAGTTATGTCGGCTAAATTTGACGCCGCCGTCGGTAAATAGGACAAATAATTTCACCGACGATATTCACCAATCATATTTTAGGGATGGGTGACAGGGATGGTAAATGACTTAAATGACTAGATACAGTATTAGTCATTTCGAAGCCTAAATGACTAAGGTCATTTACACATTAATACATTAATTGATATTCTAACTTACCAGGTGAAAATTCTACATGGAAGTGGATAAAATTATTTTATAAATGGCCTAACAGTAATCTTAATGACCCAAACGACCTGGTGATTTGAGGTCATTTGTGTATCTTTGATTATCGCAAAATGATAGGATCGCAGCTCATGAGTTATAAAAAATATTCTATTTTCATTGAATTTTGATTAAGAAAAGCATTTTACAATCGCACAATCGAACGAATAATTAAGTGTTTGTACATATAAGCTGCGATCTACAAAATTTGATCAAAGATCATTAATTACCCTGATTGTTATTCCAATAGCGCAAAAGAATATGAAAATATATACTTATATTGAATTCTTGATTAAGAAATGCAACTTCACAAATTTGCGACCTATAAAATTTGATCAAAGATACATCATTTTGCAAATCATCATGAATGGCCAGGTTATATACTATAAATTTCTGTGAAACTGGTTAAACTCTTAGTGAATGGTGGTGAAACTGGTGAAACTCTTAGTGAATGGTGGTGAAACTGGTGAAATTTAATATAACAGCCATTCAGTTTTAGATATTTAGTTTCACCAGCATCTATATTATTTACTACTAGGGATGTGTTATCCTGTTCTATGAGAAATGTAATCACGTGAGATTATCGCGAATTCTCTATGAATACCCGCGAATTCTCTATGAATATTC